GCTTTATTTTTGTGATGGAAGAAAATTTATCATGAGGTAAATTGAGTAATTGTATTTATTTTCCTTGCACTTATTTGGTGAGTCCATGGAAGTATATGCCCTCCACTTCCTTTCCTCTCATCTTCCTTCTTTCCCAAACAATGAAAGGTAACTTCCTTCCCCCCAAATGTTTTCCTTCTCTCCATCCTCATAAAGGTAGTGAAGATCTTCAGAATTCTTTTTCTACATGAAAGATTGGGAAATACTTAGGATGGGCAGATCATCCTTGTTCTAAACGGATTAATGTCTTGTAAGTGCATTTATGAGGTGGTGGTGGTGTGGTGGCACTGGTGTTGGTGATAGAGTGATAGGGTGGTGCTGGTGGAACGGTGGAGGCAGTTTTGAAGGTGGTGGTGTGTTGGGTGCTGGCAGTGGGGTGGTGATGGTGGTAGAAATATTTGTATGATATTGTGAGATGATCACTATTAGTAAAATATTTTATGCAACTTCCTATGCTGAAAATATTGTCTAAGAAATGAACCAAGTTTATAGGTTGATCGAAAAGTGAACAAAAAAAAGAAAATCATGGCATTTGGAGGGCCTTGTCGATTGAGAATAGGAATATCAAATATTTTTCATTCACCAATTTTCCTTATAAAATACTTTATGCCAAACAAACATGAGAAAATCAGGAAAACATATTATGTTTCACATAAAACAAATGCCACCTTATATAATATACATCTTCTCAATTGTACACTTGTATGAAAAAAATCTGAGTCATAACCTTTAGATATCCATATTTTCTGTGATGTATGCTCATCTATCAATTTTTTTCTGTTACAATTTGCTCATTTAAAGCCTTTGCTGTTTCCTTTTACATACTTTTGAAAGGGAATTTACGTTGATTCATAAGAAAGTTACCATGTGCAATGCCTCTGATTATTAATTTCAAAAAAAAATAAAAATTGATTGAATGAACATATTAGAGAACATGGATAAACTAAATGTTGCAATTGATTATTTTTTTCACAAGGATATAATTGAGTAAACATATATCATATAAGGGTACATTGATAGGTTTCCCTTTATGTTTTTGTTATCTAAACTAGCAATTCAATGAGAGTTGGATGTGATAGAGTTAGTGAAGTATGTGCCATCAACTTTTTGTTGCTATTTCATGTTGTCTATTACACGATGAAATCCTTGTTATTAGTCATGTGTGATGTATGATTTTACTCATATATTCAATGTTATCTTTGTGGCAAGTTGATCTTATCGAATAAGAGACAGAAAGGTGCATCAGTTGATACAAATCATGATTTTAAAACTATATTTCCTTGTTATTCCTTTTGCATATATTTCCTTGTTCTTCCTCTTGCATCTGTTCATCCTATTTATTGCTGGTCATTCTCCATATACTACTGAACAACATCATGTGATATAATTTCATGCTTTCAACAGATTTTGTTGGCAGCAAGACACATCTATCCAAATCTCTCAAAGCTTGCCCTAGCCCTAGAAAAGGTGTGTTTGTTGATCTTTGGCACTTTGTTTGTTGAATATAATGATTTGCTAGAGGTTACATGCTTTCACGCTCATGTTAACCTCTTTTATAATCCTTTCTTGTTATGTAGAGTGAATAATATTTAATCCCCAAGTCTATTTGCATTATTCAATATCCTGTTACCTGTTTCTAAATTATGCTTACCTGTTTTTTATTATTATTTTGATCTGTTGTCGAAGTGTAATTTGTGCACAAATAGATTTCTTGAAGTCTAGATTTCATATGAACTCGACTGTTATAAACCAGAGCTTAACTTGCAAATAAATCAAAAAAAAAAAAAAAAATCTATTTCTTCAACCTCCGTCCTTTATAGGAACATGTTTCTGGATATTTTTCTAAATCGACACAAGTATAGCAGGTTTTTTAAACGTTGCTGTTTTTATTTAATGAATGATGAAAGCAGAGCTTAATTTGGGAATTGATCTCAACATGAGCAGTTGTGGGATGAAATTGTATTTTTGGCTTTGTTGTAGTGTTCTGCTTGGGGAAAATTTTTGCGGTTTCTTTTTATGACATTCCAAGGGATTAGACTTTTGGACTATTGAAGGGCAGTTTCTCTTTAATAGTTTTCAGTCATATTTTTGTATTTTCTTAGTTTTCTCAATTGAAGTTGTTCTGTTCTCCTTTATGTGATTTTGTTCTTTTTTTTTTTCTCATTGTTGTTAAAGTAAATTGTATTAAAAAAATAGACAATTATGGAAACTTGATTTGAGTTACAAATGGAAGATCAACTTTTATTTTCATGTTTGAGCTTTTAGATTTCTTAATTTCACCTTATTTATTAGACTGTTTTAGTTTCTACAGTACCTATAAACTCAGGAAGAGACCCATTTTTGGATTGATGTTGTTTTTACTATTTTTGTCGGATAAAATTGTCAGAGAAATGCTGAAAAGTGTATATAACAATCATGATAGTGTTGTTGAATATCAATAACTTGCAATTTGTTTAATAAAATGGTCATATAGTAGTAATATGAAAAGCTGAAGACGTTTGTCTGCTGTCAAGTGAAAACTAAAAAGCAGTTTGAAACATCACTGAATGGATTGTTTTCTGCAAATGTTGCTCCAGAAAGGCTCAAAAAGTATGTATTTCTAGGTTATGAAATGTTTCTTGGCAGTGCCGTGGCTGGAAAAGCACCTCCCAATTGCAGTTTAAAATAAATAAAGATAAAATCTAACCCCAGGGATTTCAGAGAAGAGGACATGGCAGAATAGGGAGGATGATGTATCCTTCAAATTATTAATACAAAAACTTTAATAGAAAAGAGCTCTTCGATCTCATTCAACTTCCACTGAGGAAAACCACCCAAGCATTAGAAACTGTACATCATAAACAAGACAATGCTATATCCAATTAGGTGCATATACTAATTAGGATTCTTCAAAATATTCGTACTTTAGGTTAGAATGTAACTGAGGACTGCCCTTTGCCCTAGCTGGCTTCTTGTTTACTGAAAAGCTCTTATCTGGATTGCAAAAGGAGGTGATGAATTTTGATTGAATAAAATTGTGAGAGATCCAGTTCCCATTCACTTTACTCTTTCCTTTGAGCCCTGGATGTGGGTTGTTGTCCTCTCATCTCCTCTCATTCTTCTTTTTCTCTAATCAGTTTCGAATTATTAGTAAACCCTTATTTGGCTGGTTGCATAAAGCTTTGGATGGATTGGAAACATTTCTAGCAAATCTGTTACTTAGGAAGGATATATTCAACTGCATTTTGTTGGTACAATGACTTCTGGTAGAATGGGGAGTTCTTGCTCTCTTCCATCGTCACATGCACATCTTGCTGTGTACTTGATTGAAATGTTCGATATGGAAGTTGTGTTGGGAGAAATACTGGGAAATGGTATCCTTTGCATCCATTATATGATACAAATAACATAAATGAATAAAAGAATATATGTTGATAATCCGAGATTATTTACACCCCAAATGTTTAATATGAAAAATTTTCCTATCAACTAAATGAATTTTTTTTTTTAAATTTTGTTCCTTTATGCGTTATCTTCCCTATGCTTAGATATGCTAATATTCCCCAATTCCTGTTTCTAGAATTTGTTGGTTACATCCACATTGGCTGTCTGTACTGATCCGTATCCGCAAGCATTAGAAAAGCCGGGTGAATCTGATAAACCAAGTGAAGAACTGCAGGTGCAATCCAGCTTGGTACAAAATGGGGTTGAACCTGTGGTAGGAGATGGTGATGAAATAATGAGTGAGGTAGAGGAGGCTGACATTGATGATGATATGACCATTGACATGGAAGCCTTGGAAGAAATAGTTGCATCATCAGAAACAAATTCTCCATCAACCGGAAAGTCTTGAGTTTTTTTGGTCTTTATCAGTCAGTGCAAGTCAGTCCACTAAGCTCACGTTGATATATTTAAAGACAAGATTCACATATCTTTTGTGGACAATGAAGTCGGCCATAGTTTTCTGCTCACGGGTCTCCAAGTCTGTCCATGTTAGCGGCTGTGAGGGAAAGCATAGACATGTCATTTGAATTTAATACAATGTTCGAGTCTCTCTCTCTTGCTCGAGTGCTATATTTATACTCAATGTTGTAAACACCACGTAGGTCGGCATATCTAAAAACTTGTTTGAACTGTCATAAGAAATCCTGATTGGTATTATTTGGTGGAACTACTATATAGCTGCGCCTAAGCGCATTTTTATGCGTGAGCCTGCCAGTGGACTCTGGAGTTGAAGAAATTATTAGGCAGTTCGTTTTTATAAATTACTCTTTCGCGGTCATCTTTTTCAAATAAAATTTGATCAACAGTTTGAGAAATTTTTAAAAGTGTCTAGGTAATATTCCTTTTGCAAATGCCTTAGCATAGATCCTTGCCTGTACAAAGTTCTTAAAGTAGATCATGTCTAAGAAGACGAAATTAGAGGATTTTAAGACCCATTGCCTTGACAGAAAAATGCAGTGCCATTATCCAAAATAAGCTTCCACCAAAGCTAAGAGATCCAGTTTTTCTATCCCTTTAGTGTAGGTGGTGATGGTTTTTCTAATGATTTGTGTGATTTAGATGCTAGTATTTCACAAATGCCCTTTTATGTGTCTACAATACTTGGATTAAAGGAGTTGAAACCTGCAACTATCTCCTTACAGCTAGCTGACCCATTGGTGAAATATCATGTGGATATTCTTGAGAATGTGCTGATCGAAAGTAAAGAAGTTTATCATTCCAGTTGATTTTATTATGTTGGAGATGGAAAAAGACACCAAGATTCCTATCATTTTAGGCTGTGCTTTTCTAGCCACAGCTGGAGCTCTCATAGATGTTACGAATGATAGGCTGACCTTAAAGGTTAGTGAAAAAGAGGTTGAGTTTAATTTACTAGAAGCTGTTAAACACCCTTCTCTTACTGATCATGTTTTTCTAGTTGATGTTCTAGATGGTTCAACTAGTGGCAGGTTCAACAAGAAATGCAAGGGATTTATTTATTTATAAATCTAAAAGGGATAACAAATATAACCCTTAATCATTTCAAGTGCAGTTTGTTACAACCGATGATTTGAACTTAATCATTTTGCAAGTCTATGATTACCGAATCTACAACATATCATTTTTCATACATG